TTTATCTCAATGCAATTCTCTTAAATCATAGAATCATAGAATGTTTTGGGTTGGAAGGGACCCCTAGAGGTCATCTAGTCCAATCCCCCTGCAGGGAGCAGGGACACCACTAACTAGATCAGGTTGCTCACAGCCCCGTCCAACCTGGCCTTGAATGTTGCCAGGGATGGGGCCTCCACTACCTCTCTGGGCAACCTGTTCCAGTGTTTCACCACCCTCATTGGAAAGAATTTCTTCCTTATATCTAGTCCAAACCTACACTGTTTTAGTTTAAAGCCATTACCTCTTGTCCTGTCACAGCTGTCCCTATAAAAAGATTTTCCCTATCTTTCCTATAGGCCCCCTTTAGGTACTGAAAGGCTGCAATCAGGTCCCCCCACAGCCTTCTCTTCTCCAGCTGAACAAGCCCAACTCTCTCAGCCTGTCCTCATAGGAGAGGTGCTCCAGCCCTCGGATCATTTTTGTGGCCCTCCTCTGGACCCGCTCCAACAGTTCCATGTCCTTCTTGTGCTGGGGGCTCCACATGATGAAATGAGAAACACATTCTAGTTTGTTTTTTTCTTTCCTTTTTCTACAGCTTTGGATGCTTTTCTCAAAATCCCATTTCTCTGTTCTCATTCAATATTTAACGTCCTTTGATTTTAACTGCCTGTCTTTCACTTTTTCCCAGGTCCAGGCCTATATGGCTGGGCAGCATGGGGGTGGTGTGTCTGGAGTATGAATGGTACAGATCATCCTCCTGTTTCTCATTTGGATATTATCCAGAAAAACCCCAACAAGCCAACCCCAACCCAAAAAAACCCCTGCTCAGATCAACATTACGTTGCCAACGTAACATCTCTCCAGTGAATGTTAAGGTATAATTACCCTATAAGGAATGATTCCTATTAAACATTTAATACATCTCCCTCTAATTGAAATTTAAGCCTTTGGTTGTGGTTAGGTGTCACTAAAGAGATGATTAAACATAAAATATGTATAATGCTTAACTCCTTTCGGGGTGTTGGGATAGCTTCCACTAAGTAACAAACATAAATAATTTCTTTTGCACTCTAAAAAGTTTTTACAGTAGCTCGATTTGAGGCAGGCGAGGAAGATCTCCTTCCTCGTCTGAAAGGGAATCTTTCAGCAGCTGCTGCTGCAGCAGCGCGGGGATGAGAGCCTCCTCGAGCTCAGCTTCGCATGCTGCCTTTCTGCCCCTTGTATCCTGTTCCCCCGTGGGGCTTCGTGCCGCCCCAAACCTCCCCCTCAGCCGCCTGCCTCCCCCCTGGCTCTGGCTGCCTTGCAATATTCCTCTCCCGTGTCACAGCTTCTCAGCCTGCCCTTAAAAGTCTTCTTATGTAGACCTATTTGCCGTGAAGGTATAATGGAGAAAAATGTACATTTTCCTCTTACGCAAGTAATCTGAACGCGAGACCTGAACACGCCGAGCATCAGCAAGGATACCAACAATAGCCCTAAATCCTAAATCAAACACTTGCACAACATATGTGTAATTTTTTTGCCTATTTTTAATAATCTTGCTCATAGACTGAAAATCAGTCCTTGTCAAAGTTTCATCTGCAAAGGCAAACACCTATTTAATTCCACCTGTTACCAAGAATTCGCACAAAGGCTCGAAGAAGTACCGGCACCTGTTTTCCCTGCCCATCTTTATTTCTTTTCTTCAAGCAGCACAATTACAAGGTTTTGGCTGCAGCATTTCCCACCACCACCTTTCTTTGCCCAGTCCCCTGGGGCATCTGTGCTCAGGCCACCGAGCCTGGCCCATCCTGCAGTAAAAATTAAAACCTATGAATGTCAGCAGCAGGAAAATGCATCTGCTCCTGTGCTTGTTCCCCTCCCTGAACTGCTCTTCTCGGTGTGTTTTACATGCCTTGAGCTGATTATTTATGCATAAAAGAAAACAAGCAACCAAAGTTCGTTGTGTGGTTATTTTAAAATTGTCCTAATATTTGAAATAAAGCAAGTCCAGAGAATCACTTTGAAAAGTGATTGAAAAATAAACCCAGCCATAAGAATACACTGTGAAGTAATTTACTGGAGAAAACCTCAGCTCCGAGAACAGCCAACCATGTTTTTGTGGTTGCCTTAGACAAACTGAGTCTCAGAACAGAGCTTCTGGCAGAAAAAGATTGGTGTAGACCTCATGCAATCCCAAGAGTTTGAAAAGCAGAGGTTGTATGAAAAGAGCCCTTCCTTAGGGCGCGTGCCCCGCGGCGTGCAATGCCCATCAGGCACGAGCGCTCGTAACGCTGTTCTGCCCTGCGAGGGTTTCATAGCCCATGGATGGGGGTGGATGAAGGATTCGGCGCTGACACATCTGTCCTCTGCAGTTTTGGTTGCTGGATTTTATGGCCAAGCCCCATCTTTGTAATAATCCTACAGCTTCACATGCCTTCTGTGTTTCCCCTGTTCTCTCCCCTCAAATGCTGGGACAATCCACGGTTCAATGCTTTGTTTTCTCTCCCTGTCACAGCTCTGGTTCAAAGCTAACTTTTGCTAACTGCTTTCATGCAACTACGCTGAAAGCGCTTGAACGCAGCAGGAGAGGGAGAGCCATCTGGAGTACGGACCCAGCTACACTCAACCCTGAGCATCTCTAACACCAGCAATAAGGTAACAGCCAGAATATGGGCTGGATTTTCAAGCCCCCAGAGGAGGCTGCAGAGCTGGTGGCTTAAAACAAACCAAACCCCACAACCCTTAGACTTGCACATGAAGTTCACTTTGTGTGCAAGCTACTGAGAAAACAACCCAGGGATCTCCTTACCTCTGCTTTACAGAGACCACAGCTGGGCTTTGGACCAGCCTGGTGTCAGCTTGCAACATTCCCTCGGTGCAAACCACAGTTTTGCAATCTAGTTATTCCCAAAGATGCCCAACAGATTTAGTTGCTCAATTCTTGTGAACTTTAATTACAAACAGTCTGCCTCCAAAACACCTTGATGGCTTCTGAAGGCTTGAAGGCTTCCCATCCATAAACACAAATCATAGGAAATGCAAAACGAGTCCAGTGAGACCAAAAACCGAGGGGTGAGAGGGCTC